CGAACCTTACATGCCAATGGTGCTTCATTTTTTTATTTGCATTTACTTCAAAGAAAATACACGCAAAAAGCTTCATCGCGCAGTAAAAAACACAACAAATATATGTATAACTAATACGAAAAATTATACCCAAAACAAACAAATAATACTACCTATAAATAACCTAATAAGTAATATTATTTATCGACTGATATTACGTGAGTGTATGCGGCGCTGGTCGACGCTCTAACGACACGGGCTTCGCGTCGAAGAGCTCAGGGCTCAATGACTCCAGTAAGCCCGTGAGCAGTGAATATGCCCAGATTTTAAAATAATTTCTTAATAAAATCAAATTTTGGTCTTTTGAAAAAAAATTTACTATAGAAATGTTTATTAATAAATTGTCTATCCATTGGTGTAAATCGCAAAATAAAATAATACTTACTTTACGAGGAGATCCATGTTATCAATAATAATTTCACATTTATGTGGTTTCGTTGTAAGGAGATTATATTAATATTTATTAGTTTAAAAAAAAATTGGATATAGCTTTTATGGACTCAAGATTATGTAGAAATATAATGTGTTTTTTATTTGTTGATATATCTTTTAAATAAAAAGTAGATAGCTTCTGAAAACCGCACAAATAACGACTAGCGCGACATTTTGCTCAACCTGCGCCTTAAGTAGTAAAGTTGCTTATGTTTACTAATAAAGATTATTATTTCGAACTTGTGTGTTAGATATTTAAGATTTCTAACTTTGAAAATATGTTGTAAAATAGGCATATTTTGTAAAATAAATCAAAAAGTTTTCATGTGATTATAATGTGATATATTTTATATTATTAAGACCTTTTTTGTTATCATTATGTATAAATTGTGTGACCAGATGTTTTGTACAAATAAAGATATTGGGAAAAATATAAGAGTGCAATAGTAAAAGTCGATGTTAAAATATTGTGAAACCGCGCGCGGTGCGCGGTTCTCTTTCGCGTATAGCTTTGAGGTAGCTCAGTAAACTGATTCCTAGGCAATTTGTTGGTCAGCTGTCTCTCACCGATCCTGTACGCGGCACACACCAAAGATATACCAACACTCGCTGGACATCATGGAAGGACGACGTGGAGCTGGCGCCATACGCCAACAATAGCGCCTACTTTACCTCATCTAGAAGAACCCATCTCGATGTTACCAAGATGCAGCGCCTGCTGGACCTGCTGCCACCGTGGCTGGATGAGTGGAGGATGGCCGTGAACGTGGGGAAAACGGCTGCTCTATTCACCCGCCGATACAGAAATCCACCACCACCACTGAAGATAAGAGGCCAAGAGATCGCGTATTAGAAGGCCGTAACCTACCTTGGCCGCGCACGTCGATATCCTCGTCTGCAATGCCAGATGTGCGCGGGCGATGCTCCGTCCAGTCCTAGCATCCAAGCTACCTAGGAAAACCAAAATCAAGACCTACAAGCTGTATATACGACCGAAGCTAACATACCCCGCTCCGGCCTGGTACGCGCTCTTGAGCAGCAGACAGAGGCAGTGGCTGCAGGCCCAGCAGAATTTAACCCTACGAACCATTTTCGGTGCAGGTCGCTACGTCCGGAATGACGTCATAGCGTCCAACCTCAAAATGGAGACCATCGAAGAGTTTGTGGTCCGGTTGTCGCGCGGTTTGTTCAACCGCGCCGACAACGGACCACACCCATCAACCAGACCACACATCTCAACAACTTTGCGCCGCTACACACACGCCCCCCGGACGGGCGACCTCTGCCAAGAGAACTCCTCTCTACAGCGATTAGAGAGTCGAGTAATAATCCTCAATGCCGCAGATAGGCCAACTTAGACGCCCAGACAGGTCAAATTAGACGCCCATAGGCTAAATTAGACGCATATAGGCCAAATTAGACGCCCATATATTTTTTAACGAGAAAAGTAACAATGCCGAAAAATTGGCTCCCAGGACCGTCCCATAGAATTGGGCTGTGAGGAACACCCGGGTAATGGGGGAGATGCCCCGAGGTCCGAAACCTGCTGGGTGTTTCACACTCACCGCAGCAGACGACAACTTAGTTGGCAATTCGTTCGGGACTAGCTACCATTTTATATTTAAAGCAAGAAAGAAAAACACACAGGGAAGTGATAGGAAATAGTAAAAGTAAACATTGCACTCTTATGGGGAAATTTTGAAGACAATCGCTGTTTTATTTCCTAAGGTATCTTCCACCACCTATCGAATACAGTCTAATGCTTCATCGCTTCAACGGACGGTGAGACCGGGACCACTTCTAGAGGGACGCAATCTTAGTCGTCTAACCTTTCTTTTCAGAAAGGGTAACAGACGCTCTCTTGTGACACTCGTTCACAAGAGAGCTTCTGTTACCGTTTGGGGTCACATCCACCTCGTTGTTCCCGGACCCAACGTGGTGTGATAAGAGTTCCGGGGTAAAACGTCTATGAAAGACTAATTCCTGTCTGATTGGACCCTTTCAGTTGAGGTATTGAAATCGAGAGCGTGCTGCCATACCCCTTTCAGCTACATATGTCTATAGACTGGAGTAGCAACTTACCATCAAACGGGCTATTAGTTCGTGTGCACTTTAGTTTTATTAAAGATTAAGATTAATTCATTCTGTCCACAGATGCATTTAGGTCATTTACACTAAAATGCTGATACATATGGACATCATCTGCGTACAGGTGATACTTGCTGAAATTTATTACGAACGTTACACCAATCGTAGAACTTATTATCAACACGTAATCATTGCCGGCATTCCCGACGATAGGAATTGAACCATTGTACAACTGATGATGTTAAATTCAGGGATTTCAGAATTGTTAACAAAATCTCATAGTCAACACAACTAAACGCGTTACTGAAGTCTAGAACGACAAGAAGAGTAGATTGACGATTATCCATTGCAAAGCGGATATAATCAGTTATTTTAATTAAGGCCGTGGAAGTATTGTGCAATGGTCGGAAAAACAGACTAAAAAGGGATTGTTTTTGTTTAGAAATTTTGTTGAAGGGTGTCCATCCTTTTCACGAAATTCGGAGAAGATGGAGAGGGTTGATATTGGCCTATAATGGTTGAAATTAGTAGGCGAGCTATTTTTGTGGGTAGGAATTAGGAACGCTTTTTTCCACTTGGTACGGAAGGTACTAGAGGTAAAGGAAACATTTATTAGATGAGCGATACGGGAAACTATTTGGCCCAAAACAAAAGCTTTTGAATATTGACGTACTTTTATTTTCACTTTTTTATTTTATTTTTATGGAAACAAGTCAATCAAGTTATGTTTGTGATATATTTTGATTACTTGAATTAATACAAGATATAGATAAGATACATCGAGGTTACGGTTTTTTCCGAAAATTTAATATTTTAAATAATTATAATAATGTGAATTCATTCTGCATTTTAAAATTGGATTTTTTTCATAGGATACAAATGAGAACGCCGTCTACATGATAATAATATTTGTAAATGTATATTGGCCACAGATCGGTGTTGTCGGTATGTGGTGATTTACAAATATTCTCAGTTAAGAATTAAAATGTAGATGCATTGTAACCTCTGAGGACTAAGATGGAGGGCATCATTTCCAGTTAAGTGTCTATGGTTCTCTCACCGTACGAAACTCAGTAGCATTATTATCTTGTTTCACATTGGTATTCTGTAAATGCGTAGTCCTACTCAAGTCGAGCCAACCCATTTATGCTTCAGCTAATGTATAGCTAGCATAGCTGCAGCGAGGCTCTACCATATAATAAATATATGGTCTTACTGACTACCTCGTTGATCCAATCGCCAATTTGTTATCTACTCGACAATCGGGAAAAAATTCCATGATTGATTGTAAATTAGTTTTTAAATTCTTCTTCTTTATCATATTCATTACGCCGCAAACGTCCACTGCTGGACATAGTCTACCTTAGTAGGCAGGATTTGAATTAATCGTCACGTTTGCCAAACGGATTGACGCTGAAGCCCGTCACTGGTCTGGTTATTCTACGTCTGCCATACATGAAATAGTTATATCGCCTACTATACTATTTTTCTAAGCATTTCCTATATTTACCTCTTAAAACACTCACGGAACGACCTCGCGGCATTTTTGTCAATTAAAATATAATGAAGTTACCCAAATTGCAGGTAAAATGTTTATATTAAATACTCATTTCCAAAATATTATCAAGGGCGTTACCAGCCAATGGTCCGGGGGAGGGGGTGGGGCAAGTTATAAAGAGGAGGGGAAAGTGTAGGTACACGAGTAAATGAAGCGTTACATTTCTATTGCGTATATTTCCTCTACGGCGATTGTAATAATAACGGTACAAATTCCAATGTGAAAAGCTCTACGAGCTCAAGACTATACAATATATAAGACTAAATTTTTGCTTTGCATTTGACTACATTTTTTGCCGTGAGTAGTTTTTTGTCTAAGCCGTGGTAGCTCAAATGGTTAGCGCTCGCTGTAAATTTGACAGTACGCGAGCAAACCGGGTTCGATCCCCGCCGGCACCAATGACATTGTTAATTGCAATTTTAAGTGCTGATTCACCACGAGCTCGGCAGTGAAGGAAAACATCGTGAGGAAACCTAATGTCTGAGAAATTAATAAAAAATATTTAGGAGACATTTGAAGTCCGCCAACACGCATTGTGGCAGCGCGGTAGACATTTCATTGCCCTAAAACCCTCTCAGAAATGAGAAGAGGCCTGTGCCCAGCAGTGGGACGTATATAGACTGTAACTTTACTTTTTTACGTTTACATTTTTTTGGGACTGTAGGGGGGGAGGGCATCTGGCCCTTCCTGTCCCCTTTTTAATGGAAAAGAGGCATAATTCCGTTTTAGTCCTCACAGGTGACAATGCATCTGCATTTTGATTCGCAAACAAGGACATATGTAGACGTCTATGGGCTACAGCAACCACTTACCATCAGGTGAACTGTATGCTCGTTTGTCACCCTACCCTATTAAAAAAAACTCTAACATTATAATAGAATCGATGGCTTTAATAACAATTATAATTATTATATTAGTTACATTTTTTGCGATATATTATGTTCAAATAAGATATACCCGTACTACACGTATTTTGTCTTGTATACCAGGGCCTCGAGGATGGCCCGTTATAGGAAATTTTTTGACAATTTTAATTTCGCCAAGTAAGGTTATGGCTTTAAGAATAAATTAATGACGTTGAAGAAACGGCAACCGCAGAATTTTTTGCCGACGTCAACTCCGTCCAGCGGGTACGTTTAATACTACTTAGACAAGTGCAAAGATTATTAACTGCAGAAGTAATAAGTATATAAGTAGTATACTGCCTATTATTTTTGCGCATCACTGAGAGACAGAGAGAGTGAGAGTAAGAGAGAGCTGTGGTAGCTCAGGGTCTAAGCGCTCTCTGTTAATTTCACACTACGCGAGTAACCCGTTTTCGATTCCCGACGGCAACAATGAAATTGTTAATTTAAGTGCTGATTTACTACGTGTTCGTCGGTGAAGAGAAACATCGTGAAGAAACCTGCATGTCTGAGAAATTTGAAGACATTTGAAGTTCACCAACACGCATTAGGGCAGAGTGACGGACATTTCCTTCCCCTGACAGCCAGTAGTGGGACGTATATAGGCTGTAACTTTATTTTTAACTGATAGCCATGTCGCGTGCACGATGTTCAGCTTCTTCAATTCCATTGTACGGTGTGTAGCTGTAGCTTAAACTGGTAGGCATCACGAGCTATCAATTGTTGAAGTTTTAAGTACGTAAGTATTTTTATTATATTTGTTGAATAGTATTTATTTGTATCGTGTACATATCAATATTCATTTTCGTTTCAGATACAGAAGGGTACCAACGTACCTGAGAAAAGTATTATGTGGAGACCACGAAAACGTAAAATTCATTCGTATATTCCAGTGATAGTTACTCGTTACATACGCCACATTTTCTATAGAGTTTAGATTGTTTCAGATAGGGCAATATAAAAAAATGATATGTAATATTATTATTATTATTATGGGAATGATTTGTTAAAATTTATTAAAATATACATTTAAAGGTATTTATAATAAAAACAATAAACAAGCTGCAAGGTTCTACTGATATTGTTTCTTGTAAACACAATTGTATTGTCTGGAAGAAATCACTTTCAGAGTGATAAGACCGCCTGTTGTACATTTTCTAATTTAGATTTAATTGTATTCGTTTTGTTTTGTTTTTTGGTGTACAATAAAGAGTAAATAAATAAATAAAATAAATAAATAAATTGTAAATTGCTGTTCTCATTTTTATCAACGATGAATTAATGAGACGTAATCAACATAACTTTTATATAAAATATATTTATTTAAATTGGCACATGGCGAATTTGTCCTTCTACATACAAATTGGCCGAAAATTGAAATGGAATATTTCGTCTGTTCTTGATTCTCTCGTATATACACCATTTTTCATAGAAGTATTGTTTACAACTGGTGTGGTTTCCAAAAGCATGATTAAGTGTCAGCTGTATATCGTCAATCTGGTCCTGAACTTTATTGACATTAATTTTTGTTATACTATATTGTAACCTTTTTAATAACTGACGCAAACTTATAAGTTTATTATTTTTCTGTATTTTTCTGTATGAGTTTGTATTTTTTTATATTTTATCACAAAAGTTTCGCTATAAATTATTACGGTATTTATTTATTTTCTACAGTAATTATCTCCTTGTGATATTGGCGTGATTGTAGGATATTACATCCGTACCGAGTCACCATCAGATATTAAAAACTCTACAGAAACATCGTAAAATTATTTCTTTTTCCATACAGGTATGGCCTGAATGCCATTCGTGCTCTTTTGCTACAGCTTTTTTTGCTCTTATGCACGTATGCGGACAAAACAAAGTTTTACCTCTCCTCCTTTTAATGATAAAACACGCACCTGACACTGTAGGATACTTTTTTCTATAAGACCGTTTGGAAAAAAAATTTTTGTTAACAGTTATGGTTATAAGGTTTTTATCAGCTGCTTTGTTCATAGCTCCTTTCGCGGTTTCTGTACAAAAATGATGCTGACCTTAGTATTTTTTATTTATTATAATTTGTAGGCTTGGTACGGCTTACAAATATAATACTTGCTATGACACACCTACTGACATCGAAACGTTATTTATCATCTGCATAAAATTCCTGATAATACTTTTTACTTTTTTCAAACAAAAACGTAAACTTTGAGATCAGTTCAGATCTCATAGTTTACGTTTTTGTTTGAAAAACCAACAGGTACATGTTTTAAAATTTCTTGTACTTTTATAGAGAAACATGACATTAAATAGCATAAGCTAGTTGTTAGCAAAAAGCTCTATTATATTTTTAGCCGTTATTTAAAATCAATTTCAGAATTCTGTGCCACCATTTTCATGCTGTGCTGCATCCTGCCACTGCAAAAACTCTACCTCAAAATCGTATCTGTGATTAAACGTTAATATTATCTAAAAAGGCTGTAATGATGATGATGATGATGATTATCTAAAATGCCAAGCCCAATGAACATTAAGTTATTTATTGAGAATTTTCATAATATTCAGGAGGAATTAGTTTATTTTCTGATGTTTTCAAGGTATATGACTGTAACGCATTTCCCAAATTGTTATATATATATATATATATATATATATATACTATATATATACATTCCAGATTTTCAAATAATATCGAAATATACTCGTATTGTGTTCATTAAAACTCGGTACTTTACTCAATTATACAAAACAACACTCTGTTGGCCTCTCTTTCAGCAATATTTTTCCAAATATCTGCAAATAAAGCAAATGAAGATGTTTGGAAAGATGTTTGTTAAATGAAACAAGAAGGATAGAAAACACGTGATATATACAATTTTAGCGACATTAAAAGAAGTCCAGTAAAGACCTTAAAAGTTTACTAAAATAAGAATCTCAAAACAATGCGGCACATGTTCATTTAGTGACATTACAGATTTAACAATCCAAATTAAAATGATAGTTAATCATTTAACTATTTGATAAAACTTTTGAAGGACTCATGAAGGATGATATTTGGGATATAATACTTGGAATAGTTTTTAGTACAATTGATCATCTTTAGTATGATTGACCGTGAGATAAAAGACCCTTCACATTTATCTTAGTCTCGAATTAAAAAAACACAAAATATTTTTTTAACCTTTTAAGAAGTCCATTTGTTGTTTCATTCGTTTTTCATAAAATCTGGTTTCTTTCAATATGAACTTAGTCCTGTTTCTTTGAATCTGACAAGGCTGTCTTTTAAGTCACAAGGCATTTAATGAGTGGGCGACAGTAGGAATTCATAAAAGCAGACGAAGGTTATATGACCTTTACTATGAAAGATCATATAATCGTTGCGATGCTTTTAAAGAATATGTCAAAAATTATTCTAAAATGTTTAAAAGAGTTTGCTTCACAGCCAAATCGTTACATTTAGCCACAAAATTAAAACGGCTAAGAATAAAATTAAAATTACTTGGAGTATAATTAACAGCGAAACCGGTAAAGAGAAACCTCGTAACTCAATCTATCAATTAAAAATTAACAATGAATTGACTAAATCAAATCAAGAAGTCGCAGCGTTGTTTGAGAAATATTTCACTGATGTTGCTATCTTGACAACAGAGTCATTGAATACTTCTCCAACTGTCGCCGAGCCATTACTCAAACAGGATGTTAATACCTGTTTAAAAGAATTTAGATTTGAAAAAGTATAATTCAAGATATTGTAAAATACTTCAAAACCATTGATGTAAAGAAGATTTGTGGGGGATTTCCGTTACAGTTATTGCGTCCATAATAGATTTAATTGCACCTCATCTTGCTATTATTTTTAATACTTGTATCGATTGTCGTATGTTTCCTGATTTGATGAAGTATAGTAAAGTAATACCCTTATTTAAATCTGGTAGTACATTGGACCCCGCTAATTTTAGACCTATTTCTGTACAACCAAATCGCAGTAAAATTTTTGAAAAATTAAATTTGGGTCAATTGTTAATTTTTTTAATACAAATAAATTACTTCATAAAAACTAATTTTGTTTTACAAGGGGTCGCTCGACGTCTGACGCCGGTGTTGAGCTTATGAAATATATTTTTATGCCTGGGAGAATTCACAAGATGCCATAGGTATTTTCTGTGATCTTTCCAAGGCTTTCGATTGTGTTCATTATGAGACATTAATCAGGAAACTACAGCATTACATAAATAGGGAGGAGTTTAGTCTTGTGGATACCACTGTTTTTCTTGGTTTTACTATTGACGCGAAACTTCAATGGGGCCCCCATATATCTAAATTAGCAAGCAAACTTAGTTCTGCAGTATATGGTGTAAGAAAGATTAGAAGCCTCACAGATGTTGAGACAGCTAGATTAGTGTACTTTCATAGCGTAATGTCTTTTGGAATTTTGCTATGGGGTAATGCGACTGATATTGAAGCTATATTTGTTTTGCAAAAGAGAGCCGTACAATTTGTTTAGTGCATTTTCGTTACGCAACAGTGTCAGGTGCATTCATAACAATTTATTAACATTTTTGTAACTGTTTTAAATAAAGTGATTTTTAACTATTTCGAACGTTATAAATTCAACATACTTAACAAACAACCAGACACACCCCCGACATCTGTGGTTCTTCGAGCCGGATCCTTTATCAGGTCCTTCGAGCGGTGGTTTTTGGTGAGTTTCAAGTATGAGCAATCGGTCCTCTGGCCTCCCACAAGCGGATCTCATCAGCGGATTGAGAGGTGCGTTAATCACATGAGAGCTTACTAAAAATCCAACGAAACATCAACAGGGGTGTAGTGTCTGCGTAACATAAACAACAACATTAAGAGCAACAACAACAACAAACAATGGAAGATCTTCTACGAAAACAGCCAGAATTAATAGCAGATATCCAGAAGGAGTTGGATGGCTTCAAGAAAGATAACACTGAACTGTGTATACCACAGCGAAAAGAAGACTGGAGCGCCTAAACGTATTCATTGAGGATTTTCAAGCTAACCACGAAATCTTGGTCCAGTGCGAAGATCAAACCAGTGATTATTTTCTCAACAAACATTACGAATCGGTGAGAAAACGTGCTGTTACAACAATTGAGAAGTAGAAGTATGTGCAGAAAGGATAT